TGAGAGCCATATTGATATATTTTTATCAAATTCTACTATGCTTAATTTTTTGGCCCATTTAACACTTAAGGGGAAAAAAAAAAAACACAATTCAAAAAAATATATATCTTTTTAAGAGAAATAAGTGGATTGTACTATGATTTTAACTTACGAACTCTAGTGTGTCTGACAGGGCTAAACATGGACAACTCCATTTGCTAAATGGCCAAAGTTACATTATCAAAAATTTAGGTCCAACTTAAATAATAAATAAAATTTGAGATGCTACATTCCTTTACCTTTAAAATAATTTTGTTCTCAAAATACCTTATCTAGTCGAAATGCTTTGGATACTTGTCTTTTATCTAATTCTTTCTCCCAAGTATGTTTTTCGACTCTATGATTTTTCATCAAATCTTAACCCTAGGGAGAGTGAATTACCTAAATGTCACTGAACTTTGTAAAAAGTTTTCACGGGGTTATTGAACTTTAAAAATCATCAAATTCATCACTGAACTTTGCAAAAGATTTTCACATGATCACTGAACTTTAAAAATCATTTAATTTATCACTGAATTTTGCAAAAGGTTTCTCAAGGGTCACTATCCATGGAAACATTTTGTTAAGTTCAGTGATGAATGAGGTGATTTTTAAAGTTAAGTGATCTCATGGAAACTTTTTTCAAAATTCAGTGATAAATTGAGTGATTTTTAAAGTTCAGTGACTCCGTGGAAACTTTTTGCAAAGTTCAGTGACCATTTGGGTAATTCACTCCCCTAGGGAAAGTTCTTTGCTTCTAAATGCACTCACATTCCTTTCAATAATTTTCATATGAGCATCTTCCTAAGATAGATATTTTTTTTGTACTTTTAGTGAGTCATAGCTCAACACATGCATGAGATCGGAGCAAACCAACCTCAACTGATTGATCTCAAGCAATCACAGTTACTTTCTCTTCCACTGCCTTTCCAACCAAGTGGCAATGTTAGGTAGTATGCCACAATCCCAATTTTGTCTAGAATTTCGAAGGACCTATAAACTAAAGTTTCAACTTTCCTTTCTTGCCACCTCTAAGGGTGCAACTTTCAAAAATACTTTCTCACCGACTTTAAACTCTACTGATTTCCTTTTGGTATGATAGTTTAGGTCTATCTTGATTTGACTTTACTGTATCTCTAATCTTATCAACTGCTTGCACTATTTTTGTAATAATTTTTGTACTCAAAATTCTATTTTCTTTGACTTCATTCGAATAAATTGATAATCTATAGCTCCTATCATAGAGGGCTTCATATGAAGCCATGCCAATACTAGTCTAAAAGCTATTATTTTATGCAAACTCTACTAATAGTAGGAATGATTCCTAATTACCTCCAAAATCCAAGAGACATGTCTAGTGCATATCTTCTAAGGTCTGAATAGTCCTTTTTGATTGTCTATCTAATTGAAGATGATAGGTAGTATTTAAGTTTAACTTTGTCCCCGTAGTTCCTTGTAGGCTCTTCCAACATTTGGAAGTGAACCTTGGATCTCGGTCAGAGACTAAAAATCCCAAAACACCATGCAACTTGATACTTTATTTGACATATAACTGGGCAAATGATGCGTGCTATGGTTTATTCTTATTGAAAGAAATTGAGTGTCTACAATTAACCAGATAGAATCGTGTCCCTGTTTTTGACTTGGGAAAACCCAAAAAAAAAGTCCATAGCTATTTGTTCCCATTTTCATTCCAGAATTTCCAATGGTTTAACGGCCTTGATGGACTATGATGTTTTACCTGAACTTATTCACATATCATACACTTTTAAACAAGTAGACCAATCTTTCTTTTCAAATTTCTCCACCAAAATTTATCGTGAAGATCTCGATATATTTTCATACTACTGGAATATGTAATGTACG